CTCTGCCCCCAGCCCCGTCAACACCTGCCATCTCTAGAGCCCCCTCATCACTGTCACCTCTGGGCTTCTCACTGCCATAGTCATTTGATCACCTGTACCATCCTGACTGTCCTCTGGGAAGGTGACATTGATGTACTCACCTTTCTCACCACCCCCACATACTTTTAGAGGCCTGAGTAGAATAATCCACACCACTTTCATCTTTCCATCCATGCTCCTCCATTGCAGCCTTACTACCTGACACCTGGCACCCTCATTCCCACCACCAGTCCAGGTAGCAAGTCCTCCCTTTGTGACCAGGCCCCTCTCTCCCATATTGACTCCCATCATTCTCTCCTACATAGTACCTTCACACGCCCACCACCTTATCACCACCATTACTCTTCCTGGATCTAGAAGAGGGCTCGCTGGAGTTTGCAGATCTCCAGTATATTTCCAGGTGTCAAAACTGCTGGCATTGAGGCCGTAGATGGAGTAACGATTATGTCTCTGGACTCCCACAGAGTTGACTGCTGTTTGAGTCCCGGACCCTTTGGCATGTGTGTTTGTGTGCCCCAAATCCCAAGAGGTTAATTGAGGAGAAGGGACTGCAGTGTGGCACATGTGTCCTATAACAAAACTCTTTCAAAAAACAACAACCTGCTGGGATTGCCTAGACAACCACTGGAGATATTACATTCACACTCAACAGACGCTGGGTTTAGAAGTATCACTGTAACATACAGAGATGATTAGCATGGCCCCTGTGCAAGGATAACAAACAAATTTATGAAGCTTTCCATATTTTTGGAAGAGACTGTCCAGATTGATAGGAAAGGGCTCAGGAAGCAACCAGGCCTTAGTGGAGCAGAAATGGGAAACTTCCCTAGAGAATGATGACAAGGGACCATCAGGTGGTTTAGTGGTTCATGGGCTGAACTTCTACATAGTAGATCATGGTTCGAGTCCCAGACCTGGTGGCTTCAAACTTTACTAGATGCACGTAGTAAAATGTTGTATGCACAAAATCCTAAGAGAATAACATAGCAGATGGTACTGAGGCGTGGCCATTTCCCCAGGAAGTGATTTCTCACTTCCTCTGTCTCTCTGTGTCTCTGGCAAGCACACATGTCCCATAGCAAAAATGTCCCTTAAACAAATAAATTAATCATAATAATCAGCATGCCAAGAAGTGGAAGTATAATAAAAAAATAGAACTAAAAAATTTTATTAAAAAATATGTATCATGGGGCCAGCCAGTGGTGTGGTGGTTAAGGGTGCTGGACTCCCACATGGCCGACCACGGTTTAAGTTACGAACCTAGCA